TCAATAATTTCTGACATTGCCAGTTAAACAGAAGACCCAATGCTATTATGGGCTACTGGACTCTTTTGGAATGTTTTGCTGAGTTTACACAGCTATAATATTCAGTAACGGAACTTAGGAAAAATGGGGTACACCGATGAATGTCCATTCTGTATCTGTGTATTCAAAGTGGTTGGGGTAGATGTATAGTTGCATTGTCTTAATGACTGGAATGATTTGTTCTAATGGTGTTTGTAAATAGGATCACAAGTCCGCATCTTGTACAGCAATTAACCACTAAGAAGAATATATGCAGTGTATTATTTGTTGAAACTGTACTTCCGATTTAATTTGAAACTCATTGCTATATGTTTATCAATAAAACTGTAGAAAAAAAATAAATACTTTTACATCTGCTGCATTTAAAAAAAAAAACAAAGTTTGCCCAGACTGTGAAAGAAGACATTGTCTCAAAGAATATAAATAAATAAATAAATAACCCAAAACCAAAACCAAAAATACTTTTTTTTTTTTTTTTTTGCAGATCCGGGGATTGAACTCAGACCCTTGTGCTTGCCAGGGAAGCATTTGTTCCACTGAGTCATCTCCCCAGCTCCCAAAAATACTTTTGAAGGCAAAAAAAAATCCTTTGAAAGTCTTAGTTTTATACTGCTAATATATAAGATATAGAATGAGGACACACACAACAAACATTTATTGAGTGACAATGTAATACATTCATTGAAAAGAAATAAAAAACAGAAAAGCCACGGAAACTGACAGATTTAAAACACAAAAAAGCATTTTCTATAACATATTTGGAGAGGTGAAAATTATTGAAGTACCTAAAACACTTTCCTAGATGCTAAAATTAATTTTATGCCGAAGCAAGTTATTGTATGGTGGTGAAATAGATAAGGTTCACTGCTTTTGAATATTCTATTCAAAATATCCTAAAAGAAAAAAATGCTTTTTGTGCAGTCAACTATTTGAACTAGGAGAATGATTGAAGCGTAAAGGAGAAAAAACAAAAAAAAAAAAGAGATTTAGACATTGCATAAACATGGAATTCAGTTTACTTATATAAGATATGTAACTTAAATTTAAGTATTACATTATTAACCTTGTCTATATTATATGCTAATGAGTGATTGATTGATTCTGGCTTTTTGAGACATGGTCTCATTAACTGTTCAGACTGGACTTGAATTTACTACATAGTCCAGGCTGGCCTTGAACTTGTGATGATCCTCATGACTCAGCCTCCTTGTGGAGTGCTTGCATTATAGCAGTGTGCCACCACATCCAATTATATGCTAATTTTAAAACTAGAGGGCTCGCCTGGCAAGGGCAGGGTCCTGAGTTCAATTCCTGGTACTGCGAATAAAAAAAGGAGTATGATTTTAAAACTGGGGAAATCTCATAAAAACCCTAAATAGAATGTCTAAGTTCTAAATTTTCAAATATTTCCAGTTATACATATCTATACCAGTACACTATACTTAATTTCTAATACCCTCAATATGTTCATTAGATGAGTATTTATATTATCTAATATGAATATTAATATTTAATAGAACAGCATCCCACAGAGGTTACCCATTTCTGTTTTCATTTGTTTGAACGTGATTATCTTAAAAATGGTCTTAATCCATTATAGCAATTCCATTGTTATTTCTGTTTTTCTCCATCTTGTCGATGACATCTTTCTCTTAGAAAGATTTTTTGGTATGTGCACTTTGTTTATGCTACACATGCCAAATAGATATCCCAACATGAAACTCTGAGTTCATTTTGAAGTAATTTTGGGTAGCACATGAATCAGAACTCTTATTTTCTTCTCAGCACTACTGGTATTTTATTGCTTCTATCTATAGTCCAATATGCTTTTAGTGCTAAGAACCCTGAGGCCAAACACACAAAGCACTAAGAAAATGGGAACTTCTGGCAGTTACAATTTTGTCTCTCTTTCAAGGTTCTTCCCTCCCCTGGGAGCATGAAATCACTTTAAGCTCACTATGAAACAGTAACATGGGGAGCAAAAGTGATTGACTGAAGTTGGTGATGTTGATTTAGGAGCGTTCCACTTACAGGTCAGCTGTAAAACCCTTAAATATGCTTGTCAAAGCCTTCGTGTTGAACTCCTATGGCTTTTTTCAGACTCTGCCCAAATGTCAAATTCTCTGTGAAGGCCTCCCTGGCCAAAACAGGCAGGTCTGCCTCTGAATTATTATTGTTCCTTGATATAGTACTATGATAGCAGTTAAGTGAACTACTCTGTACTTGTGTTTCTGTCCACTAATGGTTAGTCATACAAGTCTTTTCTGTTCTATGGACAAGAACATCATCAAAAATGAAGTTGGTTTTCAACAAATAACTGAAAGCCTGGTTAGATAACAGCTAATGAACATCCACATAGCATAGATTACAAAGTCTTTTCACATTTGGTAAGAAGACATGGCAATAATTATCATCTATATTTTATACATGAGGAAACTAATGCCCAGAGATTATATGACCAACCCCAGTTCCACACTGCTAATAAGTTGCACACCAAGTTCTCATGCCAATGAGTTGATATAAATTGGTAGAGAGAAGTCGTAGCAGCAGGATCATATAAGGCGAAAATGGCCATACTGGCCAGGACTGAATTAAGTATTTCAGAGTGGCTGTCACAATAGAAGACCCAGTTTCTGTTTCTGATACTTAATCTGAACAGGTTCTTAAGAAGCATAATTCACATTAAGCCAGACATAAGAATGTCAAATTTTTTTAATAATGAGAGGAAGGATTAATGATAAATTCTTTCTCTGTATTCAAGACACCTGGGCAGTGAAGTCAGTAGAGAGAAAAAGATATAATACATACTGCTCTGTCATTTCTGAAATTCTGACCATGACTCATAAACTGCTGAAGTGGAAATAACTTACAGAGATTGATACTCTAGATCTTTCATTTTACAAAAAAACAAAACTAAGCTAAAAACAACAAAAAATAAAGAAATCGGATCAATGACATACCTAAAGTCACAGAGTTTGTTAGTGGCAGTACAAGGACACAGAATTGAGTACTCTCCACAATAATGTCTGTACTTTTTTAAAACAAGTCATAAATGAAAGAAATACAATAGTTATTAGCAAGCTTCCTAAGCAGCTGGCTAACATGATTACCCATAGGCTGTAATATTATTATTCTTGACAGACGCTGTAATTTAGGAGAAATACACCACCTACTACAGTGTGCCTGGGCATTACCGAAGTAACAAGGCACATAATGTGGAAGAGAGTGTTTTAGCATTCAAATCATATTAAAACCAGGTAATTTTTAATGAAGCTATTTACTTCTATTATTTTTCATTTACTATTCTTGGATCATAGTTGAGCATGAGTAACTGAAAGTATGGAAAGTGAAACTACATATAAAAGAATGCTACTCTGTTTTTGTTACTGGAAACCTAAACAGATTTCCTTTCAGTGTTTAGGTATTCATAACATATTTACACCTTTTAACTTTTGAAAATGATCTGACTACTTTCTCTTAAGGTTCTTCTCTTGCCAATAAAATATACTGTAGTAATTATTGGTCAGCTAAAGTGTTAAATATGTCTTTGTTAAGGGCAAAGACCAAAAAGATTCTCAACAAAAATAAAAACCAATAATGGCATTTATGAAAGTTTTTGTGTAGCATCTATTACCAAAGTTGCTCACTTAACTATTGTGCTGTATATGACTGTGTTTAATAGATGAAAGCAATTTGGTTTTATGGAGGAAACATCACTGATTAAGATAGGGAATCTTATTTAACAAATAACTGCTTTGGGGAGAGAAACATATATCAACCTGCAATAAATTTGTTTACAAATTGATCTTCTTGCTGGAGATAATCACAAGAGCTTCTTTCAATTATGAGATTACAATTGCTCAATATGAAGTATTACACATATCTTTCTGTTTCTATCACAGTCACGGGCTGTGGTCTTCCTTTTCCTTTTTTGGGGTTCAGAGGAAATATATTAGCACAACATTTATACTTTGGGGTTTTGTTTTGTTTTGATTTTTATATATATAGGGTCTCGCTGCATACTCCAAGCTGGCTTTGAATACTCAAAGTACCATCTCAGGTGCTTCACCTTCCAAGTTCTGAGACTACAGACCTGCACCACCATGCCTGGCAACACAGCACTCAGACAACAAAGCCTTTCCTTCATCATAGGATTCTAATTTGTACCTTAACTATCCACCACCAATTGATGCTAATGTTTAGTGTTATTTCCAAGAATTATAGTTGAAAATGCTAATGTTTAGTGTTATTTCAACGAATTATTTGAGTGGATGGCATGTTTGGTGTCTTATAGTTTTCACAATGTGAGCTATTAAAGTTCATTTATATAGTTCTATTTCAAATCAGTTTCTCACTTAGGCTACAAAAGATACTTGGCCAAAGCAAAGAATATTGGCAATGCATGCAATCTGAACAGTGTGGTAGGCTGGTGCAGAAGAACTGAAAGTTTGAGCCCAGTTGTATACTTAGTGACTTAGTGAGAACACATTTCAGAAAAAATGTATAAAAGGTCTGGGGATGTGTCTCAGCATGAAGTCCCATTGTTGCATGCCTAGTCCTACCACCAAAACAAAAAAAGGAAAGAAAGTTGTTCATAAACCACTACATTTTAATATACCAAGTAAAAGATAATTTTACATATTAATGTTAAAGTAGGTGAAATTATATTAGACTCTATCAAATTGGGCATACTTAAATACAAATTCACTTATTTTCTATAAAATTTTGGCACACTATCCTAAAGTTCCATTGTATAACTGAAGTTGAAGACAGTTCACTTGGGTATCCATTACACACTAAGCCAGCAACCAATTTTTATCAATATCACAGGTACAAAATTTGTCAATGCCTGTGACAAGAAAATAAAGTGAAATTAATGTGTCAATAGTTACACAAAATATCACAAGAAATTTAAAAATAAAAGCAATAGGACTTACAATGCTACAAACTCTATTACTCACCAGAAACAGAGTTCGGAAGTTGCTGAGATCACCAAAAAATTCTTCTATGCTTACTGTCTTAGAGTCAAATATGAAGTATTCTCCAAGATTCTCATACAGCTTGATCATGTTGTTGTGCATGGTGGACAGTTTTTCATATTGGTCTCTGGCACTCTTTGTAAAGCTGTAGCTTTGTGTTAAGGAGCATGATCCAATAGTACTTCAGAGGCAATCACTAGATGTTACAATTGAATTATATCATCAATCCTGTAAATTAATTTGTAACCCACAAACACTGTACAGTGCAGAATTTTTCTAGGGCTGCCACTATAAAGTATGAAAAACTGGGTGGCTCCAACAATATATATTTATTTTCTTACAAATCTAAAGGCCAGAATTCTGAGATCAAGCTTTTGGCATGTTTGGTGTCTTATGAAGCCTTTCTCCTTGGCTTGCAGATGGCTACCCTCTTGCTATGTCCTCACAGTCATCACTCTGTGTTATTCATGTCTATTCTCCTCCTATAAGGGAAAACAGTCACACTGCATTAGGGCACATCCTAAAAAGCTCCTTTCATTTTAATTACATATTCAAAATCCCTACTGCCTAGCACTCACTTTCTGAGGCACTGGATAGTTAGGACTGCAACGAATTATTTGAGTGGATGGGCACAGAATTCAGTACACAAACTTCTGAGGTCATATTAGTGAGTTTGAAAAATGTTTCAAATAGGCAGAACTAATTAAAGTATAAACATGTGAGACATGTTTGGTACAACATGTTTGCTAAAGTTAATCAAATAAGTTTATATAGCACAAAATACACTTCATATATTTTTATGAATAACCTAAGGTAAAAACAAACAGGAATAAAAAATTAGAAATTTAAGACATGTTCTGTCTGTCTGTCTGCTCTCCCACATGAAAGAAAAAGAAAGGGAGACACTAGAAGTAATATTGACAGGGTTCAGAATATACTCTCACAAAATACAGTACTTTGGTATTACTTTCTGAACTTCCCTTCACCTTTGAAGCAGCCAGAGAAGAATTTTCTGATGTGCCTCTAAATCCAGTAATCATACTCTCCATCTAGAACTGTACATCCCATAACTGGAAGAGCAGGGTTGTAGTGACTTTTTGTGGTATTTTGACACAGAGCAGAACCTGTACAAATACAATTACTAAATTTCTCCCACTTCCTATCCTAGTTATTCAATCATACTCCCTCATGATGGCTCCTTTTATTTGGAGCTTCGGTGTTCCATGTCTCATAAAATTTATATTCCATTATTTTGTAATCTTTTTATTAATCTATCATTTTTATAGAAGTCTCAGCCATGAACCTAGGCAGGGTAAGGCAAAAAAAAAAAAAAAAAAAAAGCAAAGCCCTGAAATTCAGCAGTTAGTATTGTGAATATTTTGGAGCAATGCCTTCCAGTTTTTCTTCTGTAGCTAATAACTTTTGATTGTTAATTGAAAAGAACATTTCAGAGAAAGACAAATAGACTAACCATGAATAGAGAAGAAAACCAGATCAATAATTTAAAATTCAAGTCAAATGCATTAAAATTGCTAATGATCAGAGTAAAATTTATGTGCAGATGGAAAAGTAATAGACTTGGAATTGTGAAAGGAGGCTAATGGTATTATAGGCAGCTAAATTAGACAGAAATTAACATGAAGTCAGAAAGGGACTGCACTGTCAAGGAAGACAGCAGAAAGAATAAAGACAACAGAATGGTGAATGGAAGTGCATCAGAAGAAGTCCAGGCCTCAAGATATAAATGCAATGGCCAGGCCTACAGGCCTCCCTAAGGCATAAAAAGTTACTTGGCATTGTACTGTAATTAAAAACACTTGGTCCAGGAAGTGGACCTGGGTATCAGTCAGTCACCCAGGTGGGTGACCAGAGTATCAGACCCATGCATTCCCCCAAATGCCTTTGCTCTTTTGTTTTCTTTTTGGTGGAACAGGGGATTGAACTCAGGCCCTTGAGCTTGCCAGGGAAGCGCTTATTCCACTGAGCCATCTCCCTGGCCCCCTCTTGCCTTTGCTCTTTCCATGTACCCTTGCTCTGTGACCGTTTTCATTATAGGACTAATGTTAGCTAAGCAGTTTTCCTTGTAATCTTATAGACTATAGTTTCACCCATGTTTTACCCACACTATGACTTTGCCATATAAATTACAAAAGGCCTCATTGGCAACTCATTTCCAGGACCTGGCTGTCTCTCAGGATCTATTTCTATTCCTCAATAAAACTTTCCTGCTTTTAAATTTTTGTCCTTTGGAATTCACTCTTTGATTTCAGGGCACACTAATTTTCGGTGTATTTGACATCTAGCAGGTTAGGATTCATATTTTCCATCTATTTCAATAGTACGGTGGCCCAGGAGGTGGCTCAGTTGAATAAGCACTTCCCTGGTAAGTGCAAGGGCCTGGGTTCAATCCCCAGTTCTGCAAAAAGAAAAAAAAAGATGTAAAAGGCAATTAAGGAAGGATGGAGCATCAATAGTACAATATATGCTATACTATTTTGAAATTCAGTATAGCATATTAATATTTTGTGGAAGAATTATTCAAAAACAGGAACTGAGGGTCTGGAGAAATAGCTTGGCGATCTACGTGCCTGGCTAAGCAAGCACAAGGACCCAGATTTGACCCGCAGTACCACATGCCATGCCAGCCCCAGAACCCCAGGCGTGCCATGCTGGCCAACAAAACTGGGTGTGGGGGTGTACACCTATAATCCCAGCATTGGGGAGACTGAGACAGGAGGATCACTACCAGTCCAAGCTGTGTAGCGAGACCCTATACCAAATAAATAAATAAATAAATTAATTAATTAATTAATTTAAAAAAATCAGTAACTGAGAAATTGTGCCTTGAAATACTTGGATTTCATATGCCTTTCTGAATTATTCAGTGTGTTTCATTGTAACTGGAAGCCAAATTTATTTTCTATGGGAACACAGCTCTAGTTTTACAATAAAGTGGATGTGGAAGTCAGACCATTTCTGGATAATTACTTTGCAGCTGACATTTATGAAATGCACCATGGTTTTAAAAATGAGATGCCACCACCTATGTTCTCTTCTTTATGCTACTTAACTATTAGCATTCATATTAGCAGCACAACAAGCTTTTCTCTGTTAACAAGTGACATTAAAATCTTTCAACCTTCAAGTTCATGTTGATATTAATAGACCTGAAAGAATTAATAGAATTCGGACAGCTTCTACTTCTTATTCTCAAAAGAGTAAGTAATGATTCATGTGCATTCTGATCGTTTTAGCTTTGAGACTATCACCATATATTTTTGCTTGTTAAGAATATGTTAATCCTGGTTATATACAGCAGAAATGCTACAGTACTTTCAATTTCTAGTGGAGAATGGGGTATGGCAGACCCCTGGTAGGGACTTGCTAGGCTCAAGCACACTGTGAGGTAACTTACTTATAATTTATTAGCAATGCAAATTATTGAACTGAATATTTCAGAAAATTCAACATATATAAAACACAAAGAAAAAGCAAAAGATAACAAAAAAGGTAAAAAGGTTTGTTTCCCATTTATCCTAACACAATTTTTCACCAGACAAAACATGTTCATGTAGTAACACATCTCATAAATTTGTGTTTTTAGCAAAAAATAAAATAAAATAAAATAAACGGTTTCACAAATTCTGTATGTATATCACAGTGCAGAAATTAGAAAAAAAATCTAGGAATGGGTCATCTTTGAAATAAAAAATGCAAAGTAACACAGTCTACAAGCCCTTCACTTACCTTTAAAGTTATAACCTTGTACAAAGGATAGATGGCATGAGTCAGCACTGAAATGGCTCAGCACTGCGACCAAGTCACTGAAGTTCCAATGTATGGCGTGATAATATCGCTCTTTTTCAGTCCCTTATTTCACTTAGGAGATTTTTATTTTACTTTTTGAGGAGTTATTAAATGGAAGATACTGGTTAGCTCTCTGCTAAACGCTGTGATTGGTACAAACATCCTTAAAGCCTTAATCTGTACCCTGAAGAAACTGATAATCTGATGTTATAAATAACTTTACCATTATCAATTTGCATTTCATCATTTAAAATTCACAGCATGCTTGTCCTTTCATTCCATTCTGTATTTTTGAAACAACCTTTTCATAAAGGCAGAAAAATAATAGTATGTAAATTTTATTGTTGTGGAAACTACATAAAAGGTACTCATCCATCTAGGATTAGAATATAAATATTATGATAGTTCCTGGCATGATACCCTGCTCTTTTCATATGGTAGAAATGTATTGTTTACAATGACAATGACCTTCACATCAATTTCATTTTAGTGCTATATATGTAATAGTGCATATATTTATCAGTACAATGACAGTCAGTTTAAATTAAATTTGCATCTTTATATCTGGAAGTTGCTTTGGTAGATACTTTAGTAGATATAATTGTTAATTTTGTAAGTCAAATTTGACTAGGTTAAAGAATACTCAATTGTTAAAACATTATTCTAGGTGGGTCTCTAGGGGTTTTACTGAAAGATAGTTGCATTTGAATGGGTGGAATGAGTAAGGAAGATCAGGCTCAAAATTGTGGGGTGCCATCATCCAATCTGCTGAGAGCTCAAATAGAAAAACAACAAAAAAGGTAGAAAAAGGGCAGAAGTTTTCTCTCTAAAATCTTGGATATCCATCTTCTCCCACTTTGGGCTATGGCCATTTTTTTTGTATTTTGGTCCTGCTAACTTGAAAATTTCAGCTTCAAGACCTCAGCCCAGTTGGAAAAAAAATATTTTTGTGGGCTCTCAGACTATAGTAAGCCCAGGGTGGTTTCTTTTCAGTGTGAAAATTGATTTGGTCACTCCTTTCCTACTTGGAAAAGGTCTTTAACAAACTGGGAATAGACCATATTTTCACCTATTAAATAGGCTCTGCCCAAGAAGGCATCATTATCGTTCTGTAGGTGGAATATCTTCCCCACCTATCAAACCAAGAGGACATTACGGATTACTGAATTCTACAGATTTTCACCACAGAAAAGGACATAAATATTCCCAGTTCCAAACTATAGTGTACCTCTCTCCCTACAGTATCCCCGCTCTATTTTTGTAGATCTCCATCTACATCACCATATAGGAAATATATGCATGTTTCTTATTGATGAACATTTTATTTATCTAACATAGTA